AAATGATGATCATTTGTGTCATGGTTGTAGTGTTGCCAAGATTCACAAGCTTCCTTTTTCCCCTTCCAATTTTCAAGCGTCTGGTCCTTTGGATTTAATTTGTAGTGATGTCTGGGGCCCCGTTCCTGAACTCTCTATTGATGGTCATTTATATTACATCCTATTTTATAATAATTTTAGTAAATTTACATGGATCTTCCTCACTCGTCATCGCTCCAATCTCCTCTCCATTTTTATCACCTTTCGCACTCAAGTTGAAAAATTCTTCGGACGCCCCACCAAAATATTTCAAGCCGACTGGGGTGGTGAGTACCAGAAATTAAGCACATATCTCAAAGATCATGGTATTATTCATCGCTCTTCCTGTCCCTATACCCCAGAACAAAATGGTTGTGCCGAATGCAAACATCGACATATTGTTGAAACCGGTCTCGCTCTTCTCCATTATGCTTCGGTCCCTCTCAAATTCTGGTCTTATGTATTCGACATGGCCGTCTATCTCATCAATCGTATGCCTATCCCCTTACTGCGTCACCGCACTTCTCTCAAAATACTTTATGATCAATGCCCCGACTATTCCACTCTTCGAATTTTCGGTTCTTTGTGATATCCTTGGTTGCGCCCTCTCACTCGCAACAAAATACAACCTCGATCATCTCCTTGTGTCTTCCTCGGATATAGCTCCACTCATAAGGGTTACCGATACTACAATCTTTCCACCAACAAGATTCACATCTCTCGTCATGTAATTTTTTATGAGAATTGCTTTCCGTATGCTGACTCTTGCTTTCGTCCAACCTCTACCTCGCACTGTCCTCCACCTCCCTCGTCTAGGTCCAGTACTCTCTCTTTCCCCTCCTATTTATTAGAAACCTTCCTACCTTCCTCAGCCCCCACAAACCCCATTCCAACTCCATCGCATGACACTTCTCCACCCCACTCTTCTCGGCCCACCACCACTCCTCCATTTCCCCAGCCCAACCAATCTTCCCAGCCCATTACCAACATTCAGCCCACCCCACCAATACAACCTAGGAAACCCATTCCTCCTGCCCGACCTCTCCTACCTCTCCCTACTGTTCCCACCAAGCCAAGAACCAAAATCCCTCGTCCCACTCCCACCACCGTCCCCGCCTCCCCCCACCGACCTCCTTCATCGTCTCTCCCACCTTTCGGTCGCCCTTCATCACACAAAATCGCAACCCACCCTTCTCCATCCCATCACATGCGTACCAGGTTCAAAACAGGCCACCTAAAACCCAAAACTTATCACTCCATTGTTCACCCCCTGCCTCCCATCCCCAAAACAGCCCGGGAAGCTCTTCAAGATCCCAAATGACAACTTACGATGATCGAGGAATACAACGCCCTACTCCGCAACCAGACTTGGCAGCTTGTGCCACCCGCCACTATCCAAAACATAATCTCCTGCAAGTGGATTTTTTGAATCAAAACCCTCTCTGAAGGCTCCATCGAGCGCTACAAAGCCAGACTTGTAGCCCGTGGCTTCCAGCAGCGCCCCGGGCTCGAATTCACCAACACCTACAGCCCGGTACTCAAGCTGACAACAGTTTGTCTCATCCTCTATCCGGCAGTTTCACAGAAGTGACCGGTTCGCCAACTAGACATTTCCAACGGTTTCCTCCACGGCAATCTCTCCGAAGATCTCTATATGCAGCAGCCCCCCCCCCCGGCTTTGTCGATCCGACTCGCCCTTCTCATGTATGTCATCTCCGCAAGTCCCTATACGGACTCAAGCAAGCTCCGCGAGCTTGGTTTCATTGCCTCCGGGAGGCATTGGATCAATATGGCTTCCGCAACTCCAAAACCCATCCATCGCTGTTCATCCTCACTCGCGGCTCACTTCGTCTATACGTCCTTGTTTATGTCGATGATATACTGCTCACCGGCAACCAAGGCTCTTCCTTGCACTCTCTTCTTGTTTATCTGCAGGACAAGTTTGCGGTTCGTGACTTAGGCCGTCTGTCGTATTTCCTCGGCATCCAAGCACACTGGACATCCAAAGGCCTTCTTCTCAATCAACATAAATATATCCAGGCCATTCTCGATCGTGCCCACATGACGAATGCCAATTCCATCTCCACGCCTGCTGCCCCAGCTTCCAAAGACCTCGACATGACATCCGTCTCCGATCTAGCTCTCTACCGTCAAATTGTCGGTGCTCTACAGTACCTCCAGTTTGCCAGAACTAACATCTCCCAGGCTGTCAACTACTGCGCCCAGCATATGTACAAACCATTAGCTCACCACTGGGCTGCTGTCAAACGCATCCTTCGATACCTCAATGGCACCGCCACTCACGGTCTCTTCTTCAGCAACCACTCCCTGCTACTCCTCTCTGGTTACTCCGACGCAGCTTGGGCGAATTCCATCTCTGATCGGCGCTCAACCACCGGCTATGCAGTCTATCTCGGCTCTCACCTCATTTTCTGGTCCTCTCGCAAACAACGAACAGTCACCTGATCTTCCACTGAAGCTGAGTACAAGGCCCTAACTACATTGGCGGCGGAAATAGTTTGGCTCGAGTCTCTCCTCACTGAGATTGGTCTCTCTCTCCCTGGACCACCCCAACTATGGTGTGACAACATTGGCGCCACATATCTCTTCGCCAACCCCATCTTTCACTCTCGCGGCAAGCACATGGAAATTGATTTCCACTTTGTTCGAGAGCGCGTTGCAGCCATTAAACTACTCGTTCGATACATTCAACAGACGATCAAATTACCGACCTTCTCACCAAGCCTCTCCCACCATAACGGTTCCTCCATTTCCGGGACAAGTTGAAGGTTCTCCACCATCAACTTGCGGGGCGTGATAAGGATGACCAAGTCCTCCGCGTCTTCAGCCACTCCCTACACTACTAAACCACTTTCTGTTAGCATAACCTTCTGTTCCTATTCTTCCTCCTTGTCTTACGTTAAGCACGTTCTTGTATATCCTGTATAAATCAACAACTCAATTCCTTAATGAAATACAACAGAATTTGAGACTCTTCGAAGTGGAGGTTGGTATGGGTTTTTTTAGATGTGGGTCTAGGATTGGGTTGGTTACGGGTTGGATTTGATTGTGTAAATGATGTGCCGGTCGGGTTATAATTTTTTTGGGTTAAAATTTGTTGAATAAGCACTTATGTTAGCCACGTCAACAAAAAATTGATGTCGTTAATGGACTGATGAAGGTAACGACCAGTGACCAAACTTCAACGGTTGAACTAATTTTAGTGGCCAACGATAGAATAAAATATTTTTAGAGGTAAACATGAAATTTTTTAGTAATTCCAGCGGCCAAACTTGCAATCTACCCATTTTACTATTAAGTTACGTACCCATATTGGTCGACGTACCTGATCCACGCTTTATAATAAATTACTCTATCAGTACTCGACTTGCCACCAGTAGGGGTGAGCAAAACAACATACAAAGTGACCCAATTATCCGACCCGACCCAACCAAACCCACCTGTATTTATCGTCAAAATCAAAGTTTAAGGTTAGGTGAAGGTTTTCTTTTGTACAACTCGCCCCTATTGGCTTGGGTGTGGATTTAGGATAACGCAACCCGTAGTACCCGACCCAATCGGTGTTGAACAGTTGTCATAAGTGTTCATATCCAAAACATATTAGTATCGTGAATAAACATATTTGTGAGAAAAGCTATCTTATCATATTTTCTCTTGTGGTTTCCCTAGCCCTATACATTTTTTAACTTAATATTTAACCGTAAATGTAATATAAGCTATGATTTACGTAATCTTTTTTCTAGTTTATAATTTTAAAATAACAATATATTTGGAATGTGTTAGCTTATACACACTTTAGCTTATTTCGACAAATATTTATGAAATAAACTAGACATATGTTAAAGTAAATTGCATTTCATTAAAAATATGTTTAAACTTTTAGTTAAGTTACATAATATCTTTTTAATGTATAGTAGTGCCTATATTTTTTATGTTGTGTTGGATTTTTAATTAAAAATATTTTCAACCCGACCCAACCTAACCTAATTATAAATAAATCATAAATTTTTATGTTTCTTAGTGGGTTTGAATTAATATTGTCAAAACTGTAATACATAAGTTGAGTAATTAAAATTATTAAATTCGAACCACCCAATCCATGTACACGGCTGCACTGCACACGAGAAGAATATGGAGATCCTCTTCACACCTGTCAATTCCATTCATAGTTGGGCTTAGGGGTGGGCATTGGGTGGGTCGGGTGGAGTTTGACCATAAAATGCACCCACCCGCGCTTAAACGGATTGATAATTTTTAACCCACCACCCACCCACATTTAGTCTCGGGTTGGGTCGGGCGGATGGTGGATGATGCGGGTGGGTTTGTGGGTTCACCCACATCACAATTTATATAATATAAAGGAGTCAACTTGACATGATAATAGGTGAAGAGAATCATCGAGGGAAACCAGAAGTTGAAATAGGGCGAAAAATGTCGAATTAGTTCTTAAATTGGATAGAAATTCTATTATGAAAAAGTTTTCTACAGATTGAGACGATTATTAGGTGCAAGGAACTAAGGAAAATAATTCCACAAATGAAAGAGCGTTGATCTAAGCACAAGAATTAGAGGAAAAAGTAAAGGGAATAAGAGGGGATCTCTATTTGGAAGGTTGGCTTTGAGGTTCAAACTTCAGGAGCAGTCCGAGTTTATATCTAACGTCTCCACTCTCCTCTCTCTAGCGCCAACGACTTTGATTTTTTTGCTGTTGGGTTGAGCGGGTCACCCGCACACTCACCCACAACTCACCCACCACCCGGCGGATGGCTCCCAGCGCAACCCGTCACTCACCCACAGACCCACCCACTTAACGAAATTCGAGTCAAATGCGGGTGGGTCAGCCCAAACCCGCGGATGATCCGCTCGCATGCCCAGCCCTAGTTGGGCTGCTGATTAAGAAGTTCCATTCCTAGTTGGGCTGCTGATTAAGAAAATTCCTCAGTCGCCCACCAGCAGTCGCAGGCAGTCAGCGGCCAAAATTTCCAACCATGCAATAGCCCTTTGGGGTCATTTGGATGCAGGTTTTTAATTTGTGGGATTTTGGCTCAAATCACTGGTTCAAAAACCTAGGTTTTTAATTTGTGGGATTTGTGTGAGATTTTAAAATAGCTGATCACCATCAGCTATTTCATAATCCCACAATTGTGGGTTTCTGAAATCTCTAATATTTAAAATCTCTCATCATATAATTGTTTTCCAAAACGAGTGATTTAATTAAAATCCTACACTATGTAGGATTGTGCCCAAATCCTACACCCAAAACCTGCATCCAAATGAACCCTTGGTCTATTTAACGACTCTTCTTCTTCACTACAACTGCACGGCTTCTTCTTCTCTGTTCAAGTCCTGAACTCCTGGTAGGCTTGAATCTTCAATTCGCGGGACTTCTAAATCTGTATGGGTTGGTGATCTTTTGGGATCCCGTCCTTCCATACTGATAATGGCGCCAGGAAGCAGCAGAAAGATATATGCTGCCTCGGCAAGGTCTCACACTAGAAGAGCTAAGCAGAGCTCCGCCCTTACTCTCCCTTCAGGTTGGCTTCCTTCCCCGATATTTGTCGCTGAGAATTGGATTTTGTATACGCCTATTGTATCTCTTGTTCCCCCGCTTTACCGGGGATCTAGAAATGAGAGAGCAATTGAGAATTTCTGTTACTTTGTTGCTGGGTCCGAGTTGTTTAAGGATCTTAGATCTTTACGTTGGTAAGTTCTCACTTCCCGGTAAGAAGTAGGGGAGGAGGGTCGTTTCTAGGGCAGGTGGGGAACTCGGATAAAGGTTGAGTTTGGGATTCGGGGTCAACTTTCTTACGCTTTCCACTGTTAATCTGAATAATCCGACGAATGGAATAGTAGTAATTGGTTTGACTTTGTGACAATGGGTAGAAAAACCAACCTCATAAAGTGGGATTGACTGTGTTAGTTGCTTCTATCTTGATTGTCGACTTAGATGAACTATACTCTGAATCAAATGATTGTATATGCTCAGGGATCTTTCCTGCAGTACTTTTAGTTCTGCTCGCTGGGCTAGTGAGTTGGGGTTACCAAGCAGTCCGACCACCTCTGCCCAAGATATGTGGTTCTTCTGATGGGCCGCCAGTCACAGCATCGAGAATCCAGCTTCGTGATGGAAGGCATTTGGCTTACCAAGAACGTGGAGTGTCAAAGGATGTTGCCAAGATTAAAGTCGTTTTCATCCATGGCTTAGACGTCTGCAGGCTTGATGATGTCATTGCCATTTATACTTCTCCAGTATGTGTGTTTATTTGCTGTTTTGGCTTAAGCTTCGTCTTCGTCATGCCTTCAGCTATTACCATCTTCTACATTTTAATGATGCTTTCGAGTCAGGAACTTGTTGAGGAGTTGGGGATGTATTTTGTGTCGTACGACAGACCTGGTTATGGGGAGAGTGATCCTCATCCATCGAGAACAGTGAAGAGCCAGGTCTTGGACATAGAAGAGCTTGCTGATCAATTGGGACTGGGGCCTAAATTCTACTTAATCGGTTATTCGCTTGGCGGCCAGCTGGGATGGGGATGCCTGAAGTACATTCCTCATAGGTAAAGTGTGTAGCTGCCGATTCAGTAGATAGATGTTGCATTTTGATGCATTTTTCTTATTGCTTCTTGTTTTCTTTGCCAACAATCTTCAGGCTGGCAGGGGTTACACTGTTAACCCCAGCTACTAACTATTATTGGCCTGGTTTTCCTTCCAACTTATCTACTGAAGCCTTCTACAAACAACCACCTTGCGACTATTGGTCTCTTCGTGTGGCTCATTATGCTCCCTGGTTAACTCATTGGTGGAATACCCAAAAATGGTTTCCAATTATTGGTGCAATAAGTAAAAGCCCTCATACTCTTTCTCGTGAAGACAAAGAGGTTGCCGCTAAGCTTATAGCTAAGGGAGCTCATCATAGAGTAATTTTCATCTACCTGAATCTTCCCCCCTGCAACTTTTTTCCTCCTCCTATGCAATAAGTAAACGACTTGGCACTTGTTGTAGATTTGAAAAGCTAAGCAATTAACGTTTTCATATGTTTTCATTTAATGTTCTACTAGGAGCATGTAAGGCAGCAAGGACAATACGAGTCTCTCCATCGTGACATGAACTTAGGATTTGGCACGTGGGAATTCGATCCTGTAGAGATGGAGAACCCTTTCATGGACAAGGAAGTCTCTGTACATCTGTGGCAAGGAGACGAAGACATTCTGGTGCCTGCTACACTGCAGCGCTACATTGCAGAGCGCCATTCTTCTTGGATTCAGTACCACGAGCTGGCTGGTTCTGGGCACTTTTTCCCTCATCTCAATGGGATGGCTGACAGCATTGTGAAGACAATGTTGAATGACAAGCAGTAAGCTTTCACAGGCCTAAAGAGTTGTTGTTGAACCTTAGCTCTTTACCAGGCTGGTAAATTCAAAGCATTTGGTGATGTTTTAGTTCCAGCTCTCGGAGCTATAGATTGTTGTGCATTATGTTATTTAGAGTTGAGAGGTTCTGTAAAATTGATGTTTAGATACAGCGCACTGAAAACTTCTGTTTTGATCATGGATTTGGGCACAGGATAAATAGCCAACAGAGTTACAGAGATGTAGAGATTGGCGTTATAAAAACAGAGTAATTCGCCACTTTATTTGTTGGGATCATTCTATGTAGCCGTCAATTATGATTTTTACATGTTAATTAAAAAGGAATAAAAATTAATTTCTTTCAATGGATCCTCACGCCTACTTTGATTTTTTATTTATTTATGAATACCTACTGAATTCAGCCTTTTGCTCGGGAGAAGTTAGACTGAAAATATGGTGTACAATAATAGATTGGCAAAATACACTTGTGTAGCCAAAACTTTGACGGTTTGGCCAAATATAGCCACGTTTGACGAAATACCAAAAATAGCCACTTCCGTCCAATTGTTTAACGGTGTTAGTTAACGTGCTGACTGGACTAACAACAATAAATGACGTGGAATATTTTATTCAAAAATAATACTAGGTGGAAAATAATCAAAATATTATCCTTTATTTTAATCAAATTAAAGAAAACTTCTCGTAAGCAATCACCACCACCGCCTAATTTCCTTCTTCATCTTTTTAATAATTAATTACTTAAGAAAATATAAAAAAAACTAAGAACTAAAAAAGAGAACTCTTCGTAATTTCCTCCTTCATCTTCTCCGATCACATTCCCACTTCCTGCCCCCTAATATTTCGAGAGAAAAAATCCCAGTATCTCCCATCAATCGATGAACCAATCAATCGACGAACCTTAATCATCAAAAAGAGATATAATTGATTGTATCTGATTGTCGGTGAAATTCCCCCGGTCACTTTGCAGATCTCTTCGCCGCTTTCTTCTCCGAAGATCCCGTCGCCGTCACGATTGAGGAAAATCGCTTGCATGCAGCGGCTGTATCTCCAGGTGATTATTATGGTGAAAAGTAAATGGAAGAGGCCAAGAGGGGGTTTCTAGCTTGTTGATCTGGATTTGACCAGAGAGGTGGGATTTTTGGGAAAGAAAAGAGGGATCGAAGGTCATATTGATCGGAGAGGCAACGACGGGGGAGAGGGAGGTGTTGGGCGCCGACGACTCGTCTTCATCTCCATCTCTCTTCATCTCCGATGGCTGAGCTTCAGGGGCGGCGATTTCAATTAAAAGCCCCAAATCAGATGAAAGCCTCCTCCATTAGCTCTCTCTTTCCCAGTGCAGATCTCCGATTTTGGGTTTTGGTCGCGGACAAGATGAAGCGAACAGGATGGCGCCGACTGTGAAGAGAAATGATTCCCGAATCGGAGGTTTTCGGCTGCTAAACCCACTGGTCAATGATTCCCGAGACAAATCTATTGATTTGGGGACAGCTCCATTGAGTTTCAGCCGTGAGGAAGAACAGAGCAGATCTACTAATTTGGGAGATTGGGTAGCAGATCGAGAACGCTAGGGTTAGAGGGGAAATCTCTACTTTTGGATATCGGGTGTTGGATGCTTGCTTTTCTTTTCGCTGGGTTGTTGCATATGACGGCCGGGGAGCTGCAAAAGACGCCGACAATGGTGTGAGAGGAGACCGACGATGGTGTGAGAGGAGAGAGGATGAGAAAGTAATTTTTGATTTTTTTATTTATTTTTAAAATTAAAACATGACATGACATCTATGTGGCGTGGCGAGTTGTTGATGATGTGTCCTGTGAGTTGGCAACCATGTAGGCGTTTTGTTAATTTGACTAACGGTGTCAATGACACCGTCAAACTATATGACGGAATTGGCTATTATTGTCATCAAACTATCGAATTTTTGGCTATTTTTGGTATTTATCCAAAAGTGACTATTATTGTCACAAACGTCAAAGTTTTGACTACACAGATGAATTTTGCCTAATAGATTCGATATATCCTCCATGTAACATCCGTCTATAAGAAGAGAAATATAATATAAGAAGAGTTCCATTAAATGCTAAGGGTGAAAGTTTGGTTATCCATATACGAAACTTGAGCCAAATTTGAAATTTCACCAGCGAAAGATGAAAGAGACGGCTATAACAAACATTTAAGATTAGAATTGATGTGCCCTCTTACCCAGAGCATCCCCAACATAAAACTCTGGAATCTAGTTCTAAAGTACTTCTAAGTTCTAACACATAATTCATACTGAATTACTGATCGAGAAGTATTGTATCATTTTCATCCAATGAGATTGGGTCCACTTCTCATAAGTTGACCTATATCTACCCAGGAATTTAAAGCAAAGAATTAAACATCAGGTACTAAACTAAACACTATTATCTTTTTCCAACATACGAATATATTTCTACCAAAAAAAACATACGAATATGCATTGATATATTAGTTTTGAATTTTGATGTCCAGTCATCTTTGGTTTCCTTCTAAGCAATGAGGTCTTGGGCAAATCATTTTCAAATGCATAAGATACTCTTGATATAAGCACGAAGAGCCCTCCTCTTCTTTAGTCCTGCCTGATCAACAACAGTCTCTTCCATACATAAACCCCTCAAATCCGCTGGACCTGGATCTAGAGCATGTTTTTTGGCTTCGCTGAATTCGTAGAATCAATTAACCATTGCACAAAATGTAACTCCAGAAAAAAACTCTGAACTTCAGCAATATTACAATGTATTTTGCATAAAAGTACAATATAACAACTGGAATTGAGAGAAGCCAAATGGATAAAAGGAAATCACAATATGCACAAGTTAAAAAAAAGGTAAGAGAGAAACTATGAAGAAAAACAGAATCACAACTTTGGTGTTTGGCAATCATAATAATGGTAATTGTCTATATGGTTGCTTCTTTCTACTTAATTTCTCTACTGGATTTCGATCAAAACTGGTCTAGTAGTTCCTTGCCTCCCATCATCAAGCAAGGAAGTTCTGAAAACTTCTAGCAATTTTATAACGAACATACACAAACATGCATGAATAACAACGGTTGGTGGGAATTTATCTGCTTCAATAAGAAACTTACCAATGCTTAAGTAAGGTCATGATTTATATTGGTAGCGGAAGCAAAGGGAATATGTGCCTAAATAGTAGTGATATTAGGAAACAGAACATTATCTACAACTGGTTACAGAACATCAGCAATTAGAACATCAACTAAAATGCATATGCTAATCGACCACCTTAAATTCTAGCATTGAACTATCTGTCTATTGGAATTTGGCTTTTCAAGCGTGGATCGATTCAGACAATTGAAAGAACAAACACAAGATAAGGATCAACACTAATTCAAGTAGGCTCTATGTTCCATAACTCAAATAGAGCTTATGATGCCAAATTGTAACTAAAATCCAATCACTACTTTGCAAGTAAGTGCTAACTAATATACATAGAAATGAAAAACTTTACAAATCTTTACATCAGAGTAGTATAAGAACTAAGAAATAGGTGTACAGGATGAGTATTACCTATTAGAGAGCTATCTATAGCAGTAATGACTCAACAAACTGGAGGACGTGAGCATCTTCAAGTTCCTTGGTCATTGAACAGCGGCAAAAGAAAACCAAGTTACCACTTACCATTACCTGTCGTGTGGCCAAGCTGATATGATATGCAATAATTATTCTCCATGATTCAAAATGTAGATTTCCAATGTGGCCAAATTTAATTTCGTAATGCAGAAGCAATTAAATGGACAAACTAATGACGAAACATGGAAGCAGAATACCTAGATGGTTGAGTCATAAACGATTAGTTCAAGCTGGGTTACAACAGCAATGCCTCAACTATTTCTTACATACATGCAATCTCAATTTGGTGTTGGGTAGGGACCAATTTCATGCTCAATTGTGTTGCTTTGAAGAAGCTTGAAGTGTTTTTTTAAAGAAAAGCTGAAGTAAGAAAAGATTAAAAAACTGGAGATGAAGGAGCTTCTGGAAGTCCAAAACCATGATGACTGCCAATTAATCCCTAAATTAAAAAGGTTCCACAATTTGCAATCTGACCTCTTGACCCACGACCTATATCAACTATGGGTTGTACTATCCGCTCTGCATCGACATTTCACGTCACTCTGCATTGAGTTGTAATTGGTGGAGAAAAAGGGGAAACTCCCAGGAGTAGTTAAAGTAAAGGGGGGAAAAACCTGAGTCGACGGTCGAGATCGATTATCCACAGCTTCGAGATGAGAAATCAGGCGTTGTTCGTCGGCATCCGTTCAGTAGGTTTGGAGGTAGGAATTCTGTCATCGCGACCGTCTCCTGTCGGTGTGGCGTTCAGTGGGTTCAGAGGGGTCAAAGAGAGGGGATATCAAACAACGTTCCACCGCTGCTCTTCTTTAATTTGATTACACGGGAAGGGAGAAGAAGGGGCTTTGCGGAGAATGGAAAAATGGAAAAGAGAGATAAAGGAAAGAGGAGAGGAGGAAGATGTGATTGCACATAAAGGTAGGAGAAGGGTTTTTGCGGAGAATGAAAAAGTGATAAGGAGAGATAAGAGAGAATTAATTAAGAGGATCCAACTGTTGATATTAGTTAGACAATTAATTGATCAACGGTAATGCTTAGCTTGCCCAAAGTGAAATTCATGGGTTTAAGTTAGAATTGGCTTTCGCTGACCATAAGGTCCCTGTGAACAGTAATTTTGATTTTTTCTTGGTGAACAGTACACGAATTTTTAGTTAGCTTGTAGTTTAATTATTCTAATAATAATAATATATTGATATGTTTGCTGTTTTGGGGACAAGAGTAATAGCTAGTAATGCAGATGCTATAATAAAGACCCAATTTAAAGGCTGGAAACACTTGTATAACTATAAGTATTCTAGTTTGAGCAGGGTATGGTTGTTTTGGAAATCCAATATGGAGGTTTCTAAGGTTGCAATGGATGAGCATTTTATCCAGGTGAGAGTAGAAGGGGAGGAAGGATGCTTGGTTACTGCGGTTTATGCTCCAAATAAGACAATAGAGAGATCCAGAAATGTACTCGAGGATCTCCTAGTGTGTTTATGGGAGACTTCAATGCAATTATTTCAATGGAGGAAGCATCTAATATGTCAATGGTCAATCAAAGTTGTTTAGAGTTCAGAGAGTGGATTAATGAAATGCAGTTAGTTGATCATGCTGTGAAGGGGTCCTGGTTCACAACTTCACATGCTGTAACAAGCAATTAACAATCCCATAGCAAAACGGCTGGATAGATTCCTGGTTAATGGGGAGTGGATGGACAAATTTTCCCACAGTGTGGTTCACATATTAATATCTGG